GAAGACAGCAAAAATAGATGTCGGTGCCGTCTGCTTACGCTCTTCGACATCGTGTTTCATGTAGTCCAGAGATCGAGAGAAGGCTGCTCGTAACTCCTCTAACTCTTTGCTGGACTCTGCAAAAAAAAAAAAACAAAACAAAAAAAAAACACAAGGTAACACATCATCAAATAAATTATTTGAGTTGTGTTTTGGTTTTTTTTGACATACAAAATGTTCATGACACGAAACCGCTCTCACCTTTACTGAAATCCACGCGTCTCCTCAAGTAGTCGAGGTACGCCTGCCAAATTTCCACGTAATCGGTAGCCTGAATGAAGCCTGCATTTAGTGCCTTCTCAAAGACGTCTGCGTGGAAGACAAAAGAGAATAATACACATCAGATGACAACATTTCTCCATAAGGTCGTTAGTATTTTCAATAAATTCAAGGTGGTTTTAAAATGAATGAAAGACAAGCACACGTCTTTCATTATCCTTTATAATGCTAATGATTTAATATCAAGGTAAAATTCGGGTTGTGTTTGGTTTCATCTATTGCCTGTTTTATGACTCTTTATGGGCTACAGCGGTAGACATTAACCATAAAAGTCATAATAAACCAGATTAGGATAGTCAGGTTTTTTTCAGAAAACAAAGAAATAACTATACTGCAAGTTAAAATAAAATATTTCCCCATCTCACATCGTAAATATGGTGTATTTTTCAGGGAGCAGGCTATATTATGGACTAATTTTGCCTTTTTGTCATCACATTTAATATAAATGTGATAAGGACTGGTCTCCCTTAGCAACTTCCAAGAAAAAATAAACACAAAAATGTGCAGGCCTACGTGATCTTATAATGATGGAGCCAAGTCCATCCAATCATTTTTTTTAAACTCTTACATACTTGGAAGTCAGGCAAGGTTAAGAAAGGTTAAATTTTTCCACATTTCATTAGTCACACAGCTCAATCTTTTTAAACTCAAACATAGTTTGTTTATTCTGCTTTGTGGTTTCATTATTACTAAGTTAATATTCATCCTGTGTTAGTAATTGCTTCCACAAATACTTGTAAATTCTGTTTATAATAAATGAAATAAACAAAATCATCACTTATAATGAGAACAATTATCAGTTTGTCTCTAAAACCAATGCACATCCATTCAGAATGAACGCAAATTAAATTCCACTGAAAAATCATATCAATCTTTTTCAGTCGTATTTGTTATGAAGGGGGAAAAAAAAGGAGTTCAAATAGTTTCAATATTGAAAGCAGCGGGCGCTCTTGTGTGAACAGCTTCGAGCTGTGCTCGTGTTCTTACCTGACACGGTCTGATGGTCGGCTCCGTGCCTCTCCAGAGCAAGCAGGTAGCTCTTCCACAGTCCCATGGTCCAGGGGCAGTTCCTGACTGCACGTTCATGAGTGGAGAGAACCAAGTCTTTGAACTTCAGCTGACGATCCTGACGATCACAGAAAGAAAAATAGTTAAAAATGGTTAAAACAGTCTGAAAAAAGAACGAGATGAACAGCAAGGTTTTATACATTAGACGGGGTGTGTGTGTGTGTGTGACCAACAACTCACGAGGTATGTGGTGTATTTGGCCCACATGTCTGGCACCAGGCAGTTCTCTGACAGAGCACGCTCAAAGGTTATCTGGATCCGTGCTGGGTCGCCCTCCTTTAGTTCAAAGTCGATGTAGGCCTGATATTCTGCTAACTTGGGAGTTTCTGCTACCATCTGCAGCAAAACAACAGCAGCGTTCACAAAAACGATCGACATCATTTAAAAACATTACAGAGAACGAATGGACATCATATTTAGCAAAGTGCATTACCAGTGCCTCCTCAAACGGTTTGCACTTCTCCATCTGCTGCACAGCTTTCTTGTACTGATGCACAACCGTCTCAGGGACGCCATGTTCGGACCACTCCTCATATTCTGCGTAGGTGCCTTCCATGTCTACAAAGCAGCAGAGAACAGTTATCACAGATTTTACATTTACATCACACCGTCGACAGTCATTTTTCAGTTTATGTTCTACTTTATCTGTTGCTTCATTTAAATTTAGAGATTCAAATGTTTCAGAAACGGCACGGCTCTCCACTCAGAGAAAAACAACACGATACCAAAACAACCGGTTACCTCTCCAGTAAACTAATGAGGAGTGCACTCGTCACTCTGACACGTTAATTTTATCCTAAAAGCCAGCGTCATCATTTTCTTTAAACTGGGTAATTTCTGACATATGGCTCTCGCAACAGGAATCTGTCTCATTTTACAGCAACCAGTCTGGCCAGAAGACACGTCATGCTTACCCATTAAGGGGATGGCCAACTGTCGGCGAAACAGTGTATGGATTCGCTCGAGCTGGGTCTTCAGCATCTCTTGTTCCTCACGGCTGGGAATCCTGCCAGGGGGAGGCTGAGAGGAAAGCCAGCAGAGAACATGGGTGTTAAAGCACAAGCCATTCGGTTAAACATGGAAAGAATTCAAGTCAGCAATCTGAACTGAAGAAGTGTTATATTTGACATCATTAACATGGAAACAAAATTATTTCCACTAGATTTTAATTTCTAAGACAATGGTTGAAACAATATGGCATATGTACACAATCAATACAAAAACACAAATATAGCTTATGTGTGAATGATGAACTCTGTCATAGTGACGGGCGCACAAACCTGTACTGTGGACAGGATGGCGTTCTCAAACTCTCTGTACGCCTCCCACACCATCTGTCCCTTGGTCATGTGAAGCCCCACTGCTGTCACCGCCCTCTCAAAGATGGATCTCACCCTGTCGATTCCGCCTGGTGAGCCCATACCGCCGATCGAGTACTGTGCGTACTCAAGCCAGATATCGGGGCCTGTGTGTGTAAAGTTAAATGTTAGGATCGTGTAATTACTAATCATCAGGCCGGAAGGTGGTGGCGATGGTGTTGCGCACTCACAGATATAGTCTTTAACAGCTCTCTCAAACAGCTCATATACTTTCTCTCGGTTTGGCTCCTCCTCAGTCAGACGGATTTCATCCTTGAGCCAATCCAGCCAGATCTCTGGGGGATTAAACAAAACAAGGTTTCAGTTGTAAATAATGCAGAGCCGCTTATTCCTCCAACCCCAGAAGCATGTTAGCCGTGCACCGACCTTCAGTGAGAGGGAAAAGCTCACTCATCTTCTGCCTCGCCTTTCGCAGGCGGAAAAGTTCCCCCTCTTGCTTTAGCAGCTTGATAAGATCCACATGGCAGTTGTAGTCGAAAGCGTTGATGGACAGCTGAGGAGTTACACAAAGATGAAGAAGAAATGAGATACGTGACAATGCACTTCAGGGGTTTTGTAGGCACAAAATCATAATCGGTTGGCATGTAAAATCTACTTTAAGCTGTTCTTGCATTCACAACAGGTCGCCACAGCAGGTAGCTCCGCATATTTGATTTGGCCGAATTTTTACCCTTCATGACGCAACCTCTCCCAGGATCGCACCAGGGATCTTTTGATTCTTAGGTGAACACATAAAACAGCTACAATTGGTTTGCATGTAGGAAAAGTGTGTTATCTTATTTAATATCTCTCTATGAATGTAAAAATATTTTTATGAAGCTTGTTGGCAGGCCAAGATCTCTTTGGTGAAAATACAAATCTGTTATATGCAAAAAAAATCCCTGCACCCTGCACACAGTGTATCCTAAATAATCCATGCTTTCTTTTATGTGTTTACTAATTTATTTATTTTAATTTATTACCACCACAAAAGAAAATAAAGTTCACTTATAATTCATCTAATGAACTATGAGAGTTCTCTTTAAAGAGTAATAGCATTGTTTTTGTTGTTCTTTATTATTAACAGCTGCAAGACTACAAACTAAAAAACTAAACCCAATCCTTCATGAGAGCAAATGTTTATATTTTGTTGAGTTGTTGGTTGAAAATTCAGGTAGTTTCTTGGGTTGTAGTTTGATCTGTTAGACTTTTGGGCTACAGCAGTGAGACTGAATATTTAAAACATATCTCTGTATATAGCACACTACAGTCAGCAGTACCACACACTGATGCTCGCAGAGGGACTCGTGTACAGTCATGCAGTTGGATCTATATTTGAGTGTATTTGTAGGTTGCAGGAGAGCTACACCTACCACACAGTCAACTCAGCGCAACACCAGCGACGCTGCAGAAGCACTCTCCGTACTTAAGACTACAGCAGATTCAATGCTATGTGAAGGGGTCACTGATCACGTGACGCCCATTAAAGTTAGCACAGCGTGTACTGATTTTGTTTGTACTGTACTTTCTTTCTAACCCACACTAAACGCTGGGATCCCGCCGTAGACTGAGACTGCAACAAAAAAGGCGCGTGTGAATACGAGGCACGCGAACTATTAGCCTCGCACATTAGCAAGGCAGCTAATCACGACAGCTATATAAATGACGTGGTTGTATATTTAGATGTTTTGGTTAACGAGAGCTACCAACGCCACGTATATGTTCTGCCTTTACTCTACCATGTCATGACGGAGGAGTTCACAGCTTTAATGCTGCCAACCCGATTGTGGCTGGCCGTGTTTACCACCCATTCATTCTCATTAGCCCCTCGGCTAACGCTGGCTAATTACCTGCTCCTCAAGTCGCTGGATCTCGGCTTCATTTTCTTTCTCGTCCTCCGACGAATCGTCCTCCTCGTCTTCGTCTGAATTTTCCACTCCCATGCCTTCCTCCTCTTCTTCGTCCGATTCCATCTCCCTCTCCTCCATCCCTGCATCTTCCTCCTCCATATCTTGCAACTGCGTTTGCTCTGCGTTGCTTGACGCTGCCATGTTGGAAAGCCTATCTGCCTGGTAACAGCCTGCTAGCAGCCAGCGGGACGACGAGAGGCGGAGCCCGTCAACACGGGTCACCGTCTAACCCCGCCCGTGGCCGCTAGTAGGCGCTCTCTGGTTGTGTAAAACCTTCTTCTCTCATTTGTTTGTCAACACAAGCCGTTCGTGCTTCCTCGTGTTCACTCGTTGATTTCCGTTCGCAGTTGGTGCTGGAAACATGGCGAACGTCTGCCTACGAAGCTCCTCGTCCTTGCTGCTGTTTTTCAGCAGGAGGATTTTCAAACCGGAGCTGAGCGCTGTCTGCTTGTACCACAAAAAGGTAAACGAGTGAAAATGCGTCACCTTACTTAGAGTTAGCTGACATTTTTTGTTGTTGTCACTGGTAACACTGCCCTGTCTGTCAGCTGCCCCACCAACAGATCAGATATATATATATTTTCTGATAAGTGTGACCTCTCCCTAAGGTTGTGGACCACTATGAAAACCCGAGAAACGTGGGCTCCCTGGACAAAAACTCCAAAAATGTGGGGACTGGATTGGTGGGTGCACCGGCATGCGGTGATGTTATGAAACTTCAGGTAAGCTGGAAGCCAGCAGCAGAAACCAATGTATTGTCATGTCTTTGAAATTCCGATGTTTGACTCTGTGCTGTTTGCAGATCCAAGTGGATGAAAATGGAAAGATCGTCGATGCAAAGTTCAAAACATTTGGCTGCGGATCGGCCATTGCTTCCAGTTCTCTAGCAACAGAGTGGGTCAAGGGGAAGTCGGTATGTTAAATTACCAAAGTACAGGCAACCAACAAATGGACCCTAAAAGTGCTGTTTTCTCCGCTTTATTGTAAAGGATCTCATGAATCTGCTTTTACCCTGCAGGTTGACGATGCTCTGAAGATCAAGAACACAGACATTGCCAAAGAACTCTGCCTTCCTCCAGTCAAGCTTCACTGCTCAAGTAAGTTCACAGTCGTTATTAACACCTCTTAAGACATGGGTGTCAGAATATATAACATATATCAAATATAAAGTCTGGGGGGCAGAATCGACCCAGCAAAAACTTCAGTCCGGCCCACTGGAAGACTTTGGAAAATGTGAATTGTATTTTCATTTCAAGTTTTGTGGCTTTTCCTAATAGAAGGATCTCCACTGTGGCCATTCATACTAAACCAAAGTATTTTAGGTCAGTTAATAAAAAAAGACAGTAATTTCTTACCATTTAAGCATAAAGGGTCATGCTGACTGATTTCTTTAATTCAATATGGCAGCATTTCCTAATTGTGTAGAAAACCTGAGAAATATGATTCAAACTGGG